GAACTGGAGTATCATAATCAGTTGGGTCAATATTTTGAAGTCTGGACTTATATGAATCATTCTACACAAGTCTTACTGTGTTTGAAATTTGTGAAACACTGTGTGAATAACTGAGATTTTCTTCATGCACATCAGAATTGTTTCTATGAAAGCTCAAGTTATGAATTTAAATCAGCTGGCTCTTTTCTTTTTATCTAAAATGAAATCTGTGAATTAAGTAAAATATGCCAGAAAGTCTTCTTAATAAGTAAGATGGTTTACTAAGTTCTATCTCCTTTCTTCCTTTATTTAATGATTTCATTTCTAAATCTTTGTCACACTGAGCATAAATAAAAGGAAAAGAAACACCATCCATCACAGAATACTTCTGTCTTCACATGCTTCTATCAAGAAATTTATTATTAGAGAATTTCATGAATGTATATAATATAATTATATTCAACCACATTGCCATCTTTTGCACACTCTCAACTCTGGATGACTCACTTCTTTCCAAGCTATCTTCCACTACTACTTTCTTATATTTTTGTGTATAAAGTCATTGATTTTCATCAGGGCTGCTTTGTGAGGCTATATATACACTGCATATACACTACTAAGTAAAATGATTCTCTCTCTTCCATCAGTGACCAATCACCAACAGTTCCCAGTGAGGGATGGGCCCCCAGAAGTCCCTGCACTATCCATAATGAAATTTTGATGCATTGTAGATCACACTTTTTCCATCCTCCCACTCTTACATTCTTAATCCTCCTTCCACCTCTTCCCTGACATTGGATAGAGAGTAGTATGATGTAGACATTACATTTAAGAACAAGTATGCAGTGCCCACAGGGCCTAGAAAAGGGCACCAGAAATCCTAAAACTGGGGTCACAGATGCTTGTGAGCTCCATGTGAGTCCTCGGAATAAAACCCAGATCCTCTTCAAAAGCAGTAAGTGCTTTTATCTGCTGAGCCATCTCTCCAACCCCATTGGGATTGCTTAGTCTTACCCAACAAGAAGTAAGCTGTTTGGTAAAACGAATAAAACAAAACAAAACACCTGACTGCTTCCCTTAGCATAAGAGGTAGTTATTTTAACTAGCTCAAACAACATTTTTGTTAAGCAGTATTTTAACCTGTTTCATTCTTGTACAGAATATTTGCTGATTTTTGTTCTTTTGTTCTCTGACTTGAGAGTTTGTGTTCTATCTCCAAGCAAATCATTCATATAACATTAAACCCCTTGACACACATATCAAGTGACATACTGTCATCATTATGAGCACAATAGCTGTTGTTATATGAGAGATAAGTTTCCTTAGGTGATAACTTCTTCCAGTGCTGGGAATATGATCATTTCTATTTTAGTCAAGGCAGCATTTTTGTTCTCACAAGGTAGAACTATCATTATTGGACACACTAAATATCTTTATTTAGATAACAAGGGATTGCAAGAGTTTTCCTGAAACAGTGATGGAGGAAAGTCATTGGTTAATTATAATAAACCAACTGCTTGGCCTCATAGCTTAGAACATAGATGGGAGGAGTAAACAGAATAGAATTCTGGGCAGAAGAGGAAGTGAGGTCAGACTCTGCTCTGCTCCCAGAGAGACCCAACAGCTCTGCTCTCTGGAGCAGAGACACCAGGATGGACGTACGCTAGACTCTTCCCGGTAAGCGCACCTTGGGGTGCTTACACACATCATTAGAAATGGGCTAGTCCAGGTGCGAGAATTAGCCTGTAAGGGTTAGAGTTCATGGGCCAAGCAGTTCTTAAATGAATACAGTTTGTGTGTTGTTATTTCGGGCATGAGCTAGCCAAGCGGCCGGGGTGTTGGGGACGCAGCCCCGTCGCTCCTTATTTCAACAAAACAGAGAAATGTGTGCCTTGAGTTCACAACTGGTGTAAGGTCAAGGAACATAATATACTTGGAATGGCATATTTATTGCCTTCAATCCCCCAGAACAGATCTGTGATAAAAATAGGTTTCATATAATACACAAAAATGTGCCAAGTTAAATTTCCTTTTTAAAAGATTTAGTCGTGTGTGTGTGTGTGCGCACTGCAGTAGCAAACATGAAGTGAGCCAAAACAAGTGTGTTATATTAACTGAGCTCAGGTCCTCTGGAAGAGCAGTTACTGCTTTTAACCTTTGAGACAACTTGCCTATCCCTCAAATTGTTTCTTTCTGAGCTCAGTTTCAGTAAACTATCTGAAAGTGTAAAGTAGTGAATCAAATTATGAACAGATTCTGTTACTTTTGTCTACTTCAAGGATATATGGTCAACTTTTATGCAGTCTGAATATCAGTGTCTATTTTATTTAAATTAAATCATATTTTATTAATTATTCTTATTATATTAAAGGTTGCTAAGAGGATCAGGTAAATTAATTCATGACTGGAATACTGCACAGTGTATAAATACTACATAGTTATTATAATTTAATTTTTATTATAAAGCAGAATAATTTATACAACATGTCCTATATTATTATCTTAGTAGGTGCTTGGTAACTTACTATGCAATTAGTAATTATGAAATAACATTGTCTCTACTAAAATATTTAAAGTTCAAAATGTATTTAGTTTAAATCAATGGAGTATTTTAACTATGGGTAGGAGAAAAGACTTGAACTTGCACTGTGTTTTTCTCAAAGTCTTTTCCCAGAAGACAGGAATAATAACAGGTCCCACCCCTGACCAACCTGGGATAGGGAGATAGCTTTGGCTAGGAAATAGACTGAGTTCTTGGTACCAAAGATGGGAAGAAAAGAAAACAAAATCTGTAAGCCATCATAGGGGATATTCAGAAACTAACCACCCATAAAACCAGAAGAAGACAACGCATCAAGATCTTTGAATACTTAGGGGTACAAATACTGCTCCCCACAGCAAATTCATAAGTTTTGAATTATGAACAAGGAAGCCATATTTAAGATGGACTTGGAGTAGCTGCCTTGTTTTCAATGTTACTGTACTGGTACATTGCTCTAAACATACTAGAATTTGTTCTAGGCAAAAACTCATATTCAAGAGACATAATCTATCTTTAGAGAAGAATATATTACAATTATAATCTGACTAAAAATGAGCAATAATTAAAAGCACCACATATAGTAGCAAAAGAATAAAACAAACATACATGCTCTGATAATAGCATATGCATAAAGAGAACAATCATTCAGTAAAATTTGCAACAGAAAGGAAGAATTAGATGCTGTGGTTTCCAGCAAATATAGTGATATATTCAGATCATTGAAAGACATTATTTAGGTAAAAATAAACAAAAGTCACTGAACAAATGTCAAATCAGTAAAATTGAGTTGTATCTGAAATGAGTCATCTCTAGAAATGATCTCTTTTTGTATATGTTTTCCTAGATAAGTCATAGAAAATTCTGTCTTGATCTTACTCACAGCATGCTGCATATTCATCTCCTGCAGCAGTACACAATTTGCATAATGTAATACCTAGTTCTGAGCTTTGGAATACCCTTGGGTGATATTAGATAACAGGGACTCTGAGGCTACATTGCAGTTCCTTTTGACAGAGTTTCCAAAGTGCTGGAAAAATAGATTACCTGTTGTGTAAGGCTGAAGAGAATGTTTATTACATAATATATGTGCACAAAGTCATATGTTATTGATACATAAATATATGATATTATTATAAATAAATATTACAGTTGTTTGCTGATTATATTAATAACAACAAATGTTCTAAGAATTTATGTGAAAATGGACAGAAAACTCAGAGGAAAATATATTTTAAGACATTTCAATCTATTGATTTATGCTAAAGGAATAATGGGAAAAATACTCATGATAAAATATGTATTTCTTTGGCCAGCAATGGAACAAGATTCTAACTTATTATAGTCATGAGCTCATGAGCAAAGCATACCTGGTGGAAAATAAGTTAATGAAAAAAAAAAATCCAGTGGAGGCTATCTGAAAGAAAACTGTTCAGTTTCTGATAAATATAAAAAATTCCAGAAATTAATGCTTAGATTTGTGTGAGATATATACTTTATTAGTATAAATATTTTTTCTCTAAAATATTTCCATTATAGGATTTCCTATTAAAACAAATATAATTGTCCCTCTATATCCATTGGTTTAGTATATATACCTTCAAACTAGCCAAACATAGCATTATATAAAATCTTGTGTCTGTGCTGAACATATATAGATCTTTTTCACATGATTACTCCCTAAGAAATACATAAACAACAGCCCCCTTATTATTCACATTATATGATTATCTTCAAAAACATTAGTATGGTATACATGAGGAAATGCAGTCAACACACAAATTTCATAAAGATGACTTTGTGTTCCCAGATTGTAGTACCCACAGATCATGGAAGAACTGCCTACAGAGACTCATATTGTTTCCTTTTTAGAAATACAAGCTTTTGGGTTCCAAGAGACTGATGGGGAAAGAGGAGACACTGATCAAATAGAAGTAAATCCTAGTGGTCACCACATATATGATGAAAACAGTAAATATTTTTTATATTTTAAAATGGAAAGCACATTTAAGCACCACTTTAATCAAAACTATGCTGGTAAGATGGCAGGTCTATTAATAACCTTGACTAAATCTCCAGGTAGAAAAAGATTGACACAGCATATTGACCCAGATAAACATCCTGTTATTGAACTGAGTAAAAATAAATTAGTAAGAAAATATGTGTACCAATGGCACTTCATTTGAAAGTCTCCAAAAACAATTGCATATATAATCAGAAATAAAATGATCATACTAACAGCATCTTATTAAGTATATGAACTAGGTCATCTTTTAAAATGTAGCAAACACGTTTCAAGACGTAAGATTACTATTCCTTCAGATGTGCTCTTGTCACCAAACCAACTCCTGCAACCGCCCTATAAAGACCAAACCCCAAAGTCAAAGCGGCAGAGTTTATGCCCACTCGTCTTTAACTTCTATTGCTGCTTTTATTTTTCCAGCAACACACTGAGAGCCAATGTCATTGGCATGTCACTTACTGATGGGTAGAGGTAACCTTCTCCATTCATGGCTATGTACAACCCTGTCTTCACTCCCTGGATGGCAACGACACGCAGTCCCACTGGGATGAGGTTGAACAGTGCTGTTGAAGGAAAGGTCTTCTGTCACCATGCAGTAAAGCAAAGCATTTCAGCAACACTTTCCCTTCTCTTTCTGTCACTCAAAAAGTATCACATGTATTTGTTTTTCCAAGTTTCAACTAAAGAAATCTTGTTTTTCTTTATGATGAAGAAAGTACCATCATATAGAAAAATGAGCACCCCAGCTTTAACTTCTCCTTAGCTGGCTTGCCCACACCATTGTGAAGAGTTTGGAAGGCAGAATGGAATCAAGCCTGCAGTTTATGCTTCTACTATCAAAGTCTGACACTACTGGACTCAGGAAAAAAATCACCTATGGGTGTTCTCAAGGAACAGGATTTAAAAAGTGCAACTTGAAAGCTGACTGTTATTTTCAGTCTCATTCAACTCCTTAACTTGAGTTTATTTCTTATTAATGGGAATCTGCCTGGGAAGTACTCAGTTTTTGATATAAATGTGATGTGGGTTGTCCCTCTGTAGGCTGTGAATGTGTTTTATTATCATTGGTTAATAGAAAAAGCCGGTTTGGCCTATAGCATCACAGAATATAGCTAGGTGGAAAATCCAAACAGAGAGACAAGGAGAAATAAGGCAGAGCTGGAGAGATGCCAGCATCCACTAAAGGAGTAAGATGCCAGAACATTACTGGTAAGCCACCGGGAACATGGTGACACATGTATTATTAGAAATGAGTTAATACATGTGTAGAGCTAGCCAGTAAAAGTCTGAGTCATTCTCCAAACAATTATGATTAATATTAAGCCTACAAATGATTATTTCATAAGAGGCTGTGGGGACCAGTGGGAAGGAGAGAAACCGGTCAGGACAGAGAAAAGTCTCCAGCTACATAAATGTGTAAGGAAAATGTCTTAACTTTAGGCCTTTAACTCTTCTACAAAATGCATGTCTCTTGAAACTTGTGGCAATGTGATTTATTCTAAGGCTACTCTGTACGTAATTGCAAACTAAGACCGCAGCAAGTGTTGGCCTGGCTTTCTTCTCAGGGACATGCTGTACAGGATGGAGAAAGCTACATGCTCTTTTGCAATAATTACAAATTCCTTTTCCCCAGATCATAACATATCTGAATATTCTCTCTTTGAGAAGGATATTAACTTTTATACCAGTGCATTAGTGTGCCTAACTGTTATGTTTAGGAGACGAAAAGTAATGTTCTGGACATATCTGTAAAGAAGATACACTCAGTTTAACCCTAGAGTTGCCTCCTTCTGCATCAGTACCTTCATGCATGTGGTCTCAGTAAAATGATACGTGCATTTCTAGGCAACTAGAAACAAGCTAAGAGAACCCAGCATTGACAAATGCATCTCCCAAAGCCACTGAGTAGCAGACTCAGTGAGTCACTCACTGGAATTGGTGCTGTCATCCTTGGTCCCATCGAGAGCTCCATCGGGGTGCATCTGCAAGTAGTAGCCTTGCCTGCAATATAACCTGGTCACTATGCCCTTGAGCTGGGGATCTGAAAGGCAAACACAGGGTTCGTCAGCTTCACAATGCTGCAAGGAAATGTAGCTTTTCTCTTCTATTTTTAAAAATATTTCTTTTTCAGAAGAAGATATTTTGTAGAGTTTGTACATTGATATGTGTCAGACTTATCTGTGTCATGATATTCAGACCACATAAACCACCACAATTAAAGGAGTTATCATAATTAGCTTCAGGAAGAAAGGCTATTTTATGAAACTAGCTTGTGTGTTTATATTATTCATTAGACTGTTAAACTAATTAAATCACTAGTTTAATTATGATTTTAGACTGTAATTGTTATAAACTATTTCTGAGCAGTAGTTCAAGAGTTTTGACACAGAAACTTCATTAAAGGTTTTAAACAAAGTTTTCATTTATTTTTAAATTGACAGATTGAGAAATATGTATTTAAAAATTGTGTTAAAATGTGATATACATCCTTAATAAAATTCCCAGTTTGTATCCCCATCCCCAAGTTTGCATAGAAGGATATGTGGTGGTTATATATGATACACATGAGATTCTGACATTCCTCTTCTGAACTCAGAGTGAAGCTTAGGATCCTAAGGTTCAAAAAATACAGGAGGGGTAGACTTGACTCAGAGCTGAAGTGGGGGCTTTACCTAAGCATCACTCAGCACCAAAACAGAACAAAAGAATTACTAATCACCTAGGGATCAGCTGTAGGACAACAGCCTGGTTACGTTATAAAGGAAACAAGCAAGCTCTCCATTATACAGCTGGAAAGGACAGTCAACCGCTCCTGAGTCTTGCACTTTAGGCATGGAAGCAAAGGGAGGCGGGAGTTTGCTGTAGTAAAAAGGGGAAACCCTGTATTATAGATTTTCCGTTTAATGACCGAGAAAGGTGATTCATTGTTTCCTGAGAAGCTAGCTATATATAAGATAATAAATATTTGCATGTGGCTTTGCAAAGGTCACTCTCATTTTGGGAATTTATCTGATATAGGGCATGATAATTCTCACTTATGGCAACAGGCTTCTCTCCACAACAGCTGAATGGGTTATGCAAATTTGATCATGCTGTCCAAATTACAGGATGCTAGTAAACAATCCAACACAGTCTTTAGTAACTACAGACTAGCCAACAGACAAACAGAACAGCACACAGGCTAAACAGGCAAATTTGTACCCAAACAGAAATGCTAGGTTTTTGATTAGCTTTTTTTTTTCTTTTTGATTAGCTTTTGAGAAATGAAAAAAAAATTCCAATGACTATTTCTATGAATACAGCTGCAATGAGCACTTTGCCTTCATAGATGGGAAAATGAATTAGACATAAATAGCATTCTGGAAAGTGAGCCAACACTGAGGTTTATAACATGAGTGTGACAAGCTGTCAGAAGACAGGTGTGCTTAAAAGGCTAGGATTGTTAAAAGAGATAGCTAAGTGATTATTAGAGTAGTACTATGTATATGCCCTCTTACATAATAAATAATTTCTAAATCCCATTATCTCTCTCTCTCTCTCTCTCTCTCTCTCTCTCTCTCCCCTCCTCTCCAACCCCTCTCTTGTCTTTTTCATCATTTTATTCAGTTAGAGCTCCATCACATGTAATAATACTGCTTACACTCGAAATTGTCTTCCATTGCTGTTAATCCTTTCTAGAAATTCTCTCACAGATACAACCAGAGCCATGCTCTTCACATCAGATTCCTAGATAAGTCAATCCAGTAAGGTTGAAAATTAAGATAAACAGTTGTTTGAGTATTAGTTTTCATTTTTAATAAATTTTTTCATATAATGTATTCTAATCATGGTTCCCCTTCCCCAACTCCTACCAAAATCCCATAATTCTGAAATTTGCATTAGTTAAAAAGAATTACAACCACACATTCAGTTTTTTCAACACAGCATCTGTCCACTGCAGACCTGTCTCTAGAGTTAGGTGCGGTTTTTATGCTCTTCTTTGCAAGCTGGTAGCATGAAAAAGAGCATAAGCCAGGTGATGCATACCATTTAATCCCAGCACTCAGGAGGCAGAAGCAGGTGTATCTCTGTGAGTTTAAGGCCAGACTGCTCTACATAGTGAGTTTCAGGATAGCCACAGCTACACAGTGAAACCGTCTCAAAAACAATAAAACAAATGAAAACACAACTAAAAGCAGAGAAAAATTTCTTAACTTCTATGGAATCACACAGAAAATTTTATAGACTGGCAACTATTCTGTAAAAACCTGTGTTCTGATATCACTTGTTTTAAATTGATCTCACATTCTAGCCATTAGATCTCAGGAAGAGTCCATAGCCTCCCTCCCAGCTTCCCCAGCACTCACACAGTGAGCTCTTAGAAACCATACCTCATCTCAATTATGTGAGTGACAATAAAACACAAATCTTATTTTCTAGTGTCCTTAAAATAATAAAAATCAATCTAACTTAAATTTACCTGGTTTCACAGTTCTTGGTATTTTTATTTTTAAGAACTGATAACTATATGTGTCCTTGGGTGTCAGGCATTGTTCTAAAAAAAACTCTGACTCATTCATTGAATCTTCTTTGTGCATGAAGGAAGTCAATTCAAAGATGAGGAAATTGAGAAAGAGAACTATTAAGCAATTTTACAAAAGGCACAGAATTTACAAGGCTGGAGGTTGAGTATGAGCCTATTAACAAGCAGGCTATGTGCCCTCTACAAATAGAACAATTAAACTAAATTGCCTTACAAACCCCAGTGTAAGTCAAACTCCTTAATAAAGAAAAAAAGAAAGGAATAAAAAGGCTGTGCACTTCTATGATCACCACCAGCTGTATCTCAATCCTACATGTTCACAGTTGAATGCGAAAGGCAAAGCCGTAACCGAGTTGTGAGAATATTAAAGTCCTTGAAAGTTTATACCCATCCCACTCAGTATCTGGACAAGTTCCAAAGTTCCCAGTTTCTGCCCCACCCGCAAGAATTCATTACCAGGTTCATAAATGTAGCACCACACTTTTGGTGCTCTGTCTGTACCATTTCTGCTATAATTTGGCCATTTTCAACTCCAGCCAAAAGGAGTTTCTACCCCTGATTTGACTGTAATGTGAATAGCATCAGCTGCACACCATCAGGCTGGTTTTCGTAGTCCAACACTGAGTTGCCAGCCTCCTTCCTAAACGTGCTTCTTCACTGCATACTCTCTCCCTACTTATTCCTCACCAGTATGGGAGTTCTCAGGTTTTTCTCAGCAAGCATTGTACCAACAAAGACGTCTCTTGAGTTCTTTAGCATTACCTTCTAAACATCTGTAAAATTATAGACTGACAGCTGGGGAGCCTGCATGGGACCAATCTAGACCCTCCTAATGTTGGTAGCAGTTAATGTGGCCTGATTTGTTGGGAAGATGAGATGACAATGGCACCAGAACCTTTCCCAGGCTTATGAACTGGCTTTTTGGAGTCCATTCAAAATGGTAGGATACCTTGCTCAATCTTGATATGGAGAAGGGAGTGCTTGCTTCTGCCTCAATTTGGTTCGTCAGACTTTGTTGACTCCCTAAGGAAAGCTGTATACCCTCTGAGAAGTGGATCTGGGATGGGAAGTGGGAAAGGTGGGGTGGGCAGGAGAAGGCGACAGAGGAGGAACTGGAGTTGGTATGTAAAAGTAAACTTTTAAATAAAAATATGAAAGAAAAGACATTTTAAATCTTTTTAATTAAAACTTTTAAATGGAAATATTTTTAAGGAGACATTACTCACTTTTGAGCATTTAAAATACATTAAAATATACAGACAATTCAATCTGTATATCTAACAATGCTTAAAACATATGTTACTAACTTATCTTGTAATTCACGATCATAATTTCATATTTTTTGTTTTATTTTGTTTTGTTTTTGTTTTTCGAGACAGGGTTTCTCTGTAACTTTGGGGCCTGTGGTAATACTCGCTCTGTGGTCCAGGATGGCCTTGAACTCACAGAGACCTGCCTGCCTCTGCCTCCTAAGTGCTGGGATTAAAGGTGAGTGCCACCACCACCACATTTATTGATAAAATTGTATGATAGTTTCTACCTCACAAAGTTTACTATATGTGGCATAAAGTTGAAGTGTGTAACATTGTTCATGAGATCTACAATGAGTTTTTATTGATTAAATACTGACAAGGGGCTAGTAAAAATCCAGTAATTCCATAGATGGTTAACAGGAGTCAAAACGTGAACAGTGTGAAAACCACAATGACAAATGTTAGCAAATATTGAGATGGCTCCTTGCCCATTGCTTATGTAGTTATGCTTTCCAGATCTCAATTCAAGATACACACTAACAGAAGTGCTTTAGAAGGAACATAGCAAAATAAAACTTAGTATCTATTAGGGAAAAAATAAGAAAAAATACACCAAAATATTCAATATACTCAATTTTGAGAGCATCTATAAGCATTTTTATTTTTGCTAAATTTTGTACAATAAAGGCATGCCAATTTTATAACGGAAATATAGAAATAGTAATAACATCTGTTAATAACTGTTGAATAATATTTCATACACATTTTCAATTAAAATTACAATCATATATACCCCCAAATATAAATATTACTGCCGTGTGCTAAATGGTTTAAATCCTTAAAGTTAGCATTTATTAGCTGATTTTGCATAGAATGTTCCTCTTTTTTTTTCCTTTCATTACTTATAAAATGATCCACAGCTGATACCGTCACTTAAAGTTTAATGTAATGTCCGTCTTTCAAACCAAAAGAAACAACTTTCCCTCTAAGTCCAAAACACACCATTGATGATCATAGTAAGGCAAGGAAAGATAAAGAGAACACCAACATTAGCCGTGTCCCTTGAAACAAGGAGAGCCTTAATTCCTCCACTGACTATGAAAATGAAAATAAGAACCTTCCCTGGGAGGAGGGAGAGGAGAAGGGAAGGTTGAGTTGGGAAAAGGACAGGGAGAATAAGGAAAGAGATATCTTAATAGAGGGAGCTATTTTGGGGTTATTGAGAAACCTGGCACAAGGGAATTCCCAGAAATCCACAAGGATGAC